TCCTTCCATTCTGAAGTTTTTAGATCTAAAGGAAATGTCATGCAGGACCTCTCAATTTTTCTAACACAAGAATCAGAGATCTTGCCTTGTCTTTTCAAATATTGGAACAACTGTTGCATTGACAAGTATACCAGATCACATGTTGCTCTGGACAATGTCCCTTCAGAGACTTCTGAAAAACTAATTTTAAATTTAAAATTAAAACCTAATTTGAAAATTAGGTTGTCTGAGAGTAGGGTCTGTCAAGTATGTAGCAATCTCTGGCAAAATACAATATTTTGGAAAAAAACAAAAAAGCCATAATCTGGTAAAACCAGATACTCCTTGTTGGCATTAAGTGTCTGAAGAATTTTTGATAAAATTAATATGTTTTGTCACTTATTTGGTTTCACTTCTCTGGTATGGGCAAGGCCCGTGGCTTTAAACAATCCTGTTTGTGTATAAATAAATGCCCTTTTAATTTGTCATAATTGCATGTATTTTGTTTTGTAGTTATAAATAATTAACATACCTTTTATGATTTTTTTTTACTCTATTTTACCTTTCAGGGCATACTTTCCCTTCTATGTGTATGTGGCCTCCAATAGCAATAATAACAGTAACAAAGTACATCCCCAGGGAAGAAAATTTCCTGAAGAATCTTTAAAATGTAAATCTATGCACCATTCTTGCCAACACGCATGCTTCAGTAAGTGAAACTAATATTTGCTACTTGCCAGGATAATAATCCAAAAACTGTATAAATTTCAAACATGAAAGTGATGCCTTGAAAAGGCTGACCTAGAACAGAGGCTAGACAGAGTTAAGAATAAAGTAGGTATTTATTGAAAAGCCTTGAAGGATGCACCTTGGGCAGTCCAAGAGCCTGGCCAGGGCTACACCCAAGATGGATCTAAAAATGGTCACAAAATGGACGACTAGTTACGGCGTCTCACATCTTCATAAGTTTTGCTCCATCTGTGTATTTGGGCTAAGTGTCCAATTACAGCTTCAGATTACAAAGTCACATCCTTCTTGTTTTCTCTCTGCAGCCCACCGTTGTTTATGCTTTTAGGCCTGAAACTTGTAACGATTGTCCTTATCAAGCTGGAAAAGGAATTGTTTTGTCTACCTACCCTGTGTAGAGAGCTCACTAACACTTCATATGAAACTCAGAACTACACACCTAGGCAGCACAGAATATGGAACATATGAAAACTAAAACTTAAGGCAACATTTCCAAGTTAAGAGAAAGTTCCCAATTTTAACTCTGTATGACAACATACATGATGTTACTTCCAGTAACAGAAGTAACTGTGTAGCTATACCATCTGACTTTTGAAGCGTAATTTTTATGCTGAAATGAAGGAGGAGTGTTATATTTAATACTGTATGCTTAAGCTAGTATAACTTATTCCACTCTCAAGAGCTCCATGAAAAAAGATGGTGATCCATCCTTATTTGTATAAGGACAAAATGTATAACCCCATACTTAATGTATTTAGATTAGCAGCTATAGCAATTAGGATCATAGTTACCTTTGATCTCAGATTGGTTTTCTACAGTTTAATTCCACTTAATGCAATGAATTTGCATAACTCTTGCTTTACACAGCCAGGAATAAAATTTGATCTATAGAAAATTATTACCATTTTATATATATAATATATATTGAATATATAAAATATATCCACCTTTTAATCAAGGTAGTACTTATGAAAAGTGTTTATTGGTCTCTTTTCATGTTTTATTCTAAGTTCAGGGATTAAATACTTCAAACATAAATATAAAATTTATAAATAGTCCTGAGTCTTTTCTCACAGGATATTTCTAGGTCCCTAAAATATATATTCTACCCATTCTGCAGTGGAGCATGCAATAACATTGCCCATACCAAATATGATACCCACAGTGATGAAACTAAACAATTACTGTTATGAATATATTTTGTTTTGTTAGGGGATAAATAAACCTGTGTCATAAATGTAATCAAATGTGTTTTGTACACAACATCTTCTCACAGGGAAGTCAGTACTTATGGGTCAGATAGAGCACAATCAGACTCTCATTTCACTGACTAGATTCTGTTCCCATTACTATTTTAAAAGGCTGCATCCCCAACAGCAGCCTGATGAATGATTTAATGGACACTTGTTTCTGGTGCCCGTGTTATTCCTGTAAAGACTTTTTTTCCTCAGTTTATTTCTCCTTCATATTTTCCAATAAATCTAAGCACTAGATCATTAATATTAATATTTTATTTATTTAACTAAATCAGCAAAGAAGACATCTCATCCAATATTGATACATTGACCACGAATATATTGTAAATTGACCTGAGAAATGTAATATATCAGAATGTTAATACTGGAGAACTTAAAATGAGGCTTTCTTCAGATCCCCTTCATCTGCTCCTTAAGTCTTTTATGGCAGAATACTTTTTATGGGTTTTGTAGTCATAGTAGTTATTTAAGGAAAGCTTATGATATGAAAAACTGCTTGCAATTTTTATTTACAATCACTTGAATTAATATGTGGAGACAAATCAACTCTCTGTAATTTGTTAAAACATCTAGCCTTGAAATACAAAGTAGATTCTCTTTTCTCACATTTTAAGGATCTCTCAAGATTATACAACAGTATTGTATAATCCAGTACAATATATTTAATACCAATCCACCAACTCCGTACACTAACAAAGCCACAATGTAACTTAAAACATTGTGTGTTACTGTACATGATGTAACCCACAGTAAGAAAATCATTGATATGTTGTGACCCTCTTTTTCTAGGGAGGGGCTGGAGAGGTCCTATTTTATAACAAAAGGAAGAAATAAGTAAATACAAATTGCTGATGTCTTTTGACTTAATTTTCTAAAGCTAGTACCAAACATATCTACAAGACAAATTGTGTACTCTGAATCCTAACAATTTGTTTTGCTATTCGCTAGAACTGTGCCTGTATGGCTCTTCATCATCAGTGTCATCAGCTATTGTGCTCAAGAGCTCATTAGATTACTGTGATGCAAATTCCCATTACAGTTTTATGTTTGCTGTATGTACAGTTGTATATTTATTGAGAGGGATCAGTTTTTGTGTACAGCTATGTTGGCATAATTATACTCACACAAATATTTTTAATACAGGCATGGCCTAAGGTAGCACAATGTTCTGAACTTCAATAACTATCATCTACTTTATATATACTCCAAGGATTTGACAAAATCTGAATAGACTTTAAAATGTATTTCTACTCTAGACTAGCAGTCTGTATGTTAAAAAAACTTCCTGAAAGGTATATCCCACACAAAGACAAATTGCACTGGGAAGAACTATTACACAAGTGACAGACAGTGTTGTACATCAGGAGTATTGTTGCACCTAATTTTGACCATTTTTTTTGTTCAAATATACTTAATAGAATCACTGCATTTTATTTCAGTCATATGCCATAGTTAAAACCTGAGCAACAGGAAAAAATAACAATAACAAGTCTCATTCTGTACTTATCTAATCAACTGTGGCTTGTTCATTGAACAAAGATACATGGAAACAAACTAACTTATTTTTTAAATTTTATTCTGTATTTTATTAAGGCTCATGTAACACACAAAGTTGGTGGAATGGTTACAGAGCATTCAATGTCCCAGCTACAGTAGAGCATCTGTGTTTGATTAAAAAAGTAATATGCTTATGAGGCCAGACTGAACAATGGAACCTGTGAATAAAATCTTGAAAATTACTTTTCTTAGTTAAAAAATGGAAGAACTTAAAATTTAAGTTCTTTCACTTAAAAAGGTGTAATTACATACATATTTTAGTATTCAGCAAAGGAAAAGACAGCTAATAATTTGGAGTTTTTCAGTCCACCATTTGTAATAAAAGCAAGCAAGAAAAATATTGTTTAGTGATTCAACTTTTTTTCAGAATTTAATTTTCCAAATATTTTTTTTTTAAAAAAAACAAACCATGCAACCTACAAAGACCTGTGCTTCCTAAAGTTTACACATTAAGTGTTCTGCTAAAGAGAGTGTTTGTACTGGGATTGCGTTTATTGATACTCTTGGAAATAGATAGGGCAGCATTCCATTCTAGATTCAGAACATTACATTTCTTTAAAATTTTTGTGTGCCAGAAAAAAAAAAAGCGCCAAACACCCAAAGATGCCCAGCAACCAAACAAACATCCTGTCCCACCCCCCAAAAAAACTATCAGAACTTACGATGACACTTAAGGTTAAGATCTTGTTTGTAAAAGGAACCAAACCAAGCCAGAAGGCAAGCAGATACAAAGCTCACAGAGCCTCTGCAGAGCCACAGCCAACACGCCTAGTGGAGCAGCTGGGGTCCATCTGCAGGGGGTTTACTCAGTTGAGCTGCCTGAGAGCATACACACCAAAAAATTATCTTATGTAAAAGAAAAGAGGAAACTGTGACCCTGATAACATTTGCTAGGAGAAGCAGAGTTAACAAATAGCAAAAGAATTCCACCTTTAGTTGAACTTATGTTTTCAGGTATTTTGTGGCCACTGCAAACGTTTCTGCATTATGTGCTTTATTCTTAGACATGTATGTATGAAACACACAGCGTCTTCCCTACTTTTAGTTAACACACTAACCAGCTGCTGCATCGAGGGAAAAGCCATCTTTTCATTAACTCTACGATCTGATAAACGATTTTGTCTAACTTCAACATGTGTTGTTTGTTGATCTTGGCATTTTAATTTTTATATATTTTTTTTTAATTTTTTTTTTTAACATTTCCAAACATTTGCCATTTTCCTCTCTTCCAGGCCAGGCTCATCTTGTTGCACCTGGAGGGGTACGGCGGGTGGCTGGGCTACCAGCAAGCGGGGCCAGGCCCGGCCGCAGGCGGCACCGCACCACTGGAAGAGAGGCAGGGGCCAGCCTGCCGCCGCCTTCACTTCACGGACGAAGCGGGGAGGTAAACCGGAGCAGCTCGGCTCCCCGCTGTCATCCCGGCAAGGCGTGTGCTCCGGCAGCCGCGGGGAGACAAACTTCGCGGGAAGGGCCGCGACAACACAGCCGGCAGGGACGGGGCCGGGCACCAGCAGCGTGCCCCGCTATCCCCTGGATACCCCCGCCTACCGCCGCTGCGGGCGGCGGCCCAGCCCACCGCGGTGAGACCCGCGGGCGGGGGGTGCAGGATTAGTTTTCAGGCCGCCGGGGCGTGCCCGAGCGCGCTGCCCCCGCGGCGCGGCTCGCTCGGCGCCGCTACTCGG